GTGAATCTAAAGTTTTGTCTCTTCACTTCTTGAAGTACCCCGAAATGTGAGACCCATCCAGCTAGCTAGGGAGCTGGTTCCAGACACCCACAACTCCTTACATGATAAAGTATTTCCTATTTTTCCTATTTGGATTCCCTTTCAGTTTCTAATAATCTCCTTTCAGTCTCCATCACACTGAAACATAGTTTCCCTTGTTTCAAATTATACACATTCTGTAGTCACATTTCTTTAGAAAAACAATATAATACACTATAATACTATAAAACACCATCCCATGCTCACCTCCTTCAATCCTTCAAACCCTCCCAAGGCAGTAAACCATCACCCTAACCCTAGTGGCAATTCCAGCACTTAACCTCCTTCTACTCCAACAATAAAGGGCCCCAAATAGAAACACTAGATAGAGGTATTTAGTAACAGGGTCAGTAAGGCTTTGATAGTGTCCACCACTACACTCTACGGAAATCATCATAGAGTATAACAATAAGAAAGAAAAGGACCCAAACACTCTGATCTCTTTCATGCATAGCTTCCTGCATCGCAGAATCCTTCTTGTGATACAGTATGTATAGTGTATGCTCCTTCTTATTGTAAAATAAACTTGTGAATGTTGATGCTGAGGTTAAAGGCCTATTTAGTTTGGACTTGTACAACATGTTGCATAGTATATATTACTTTTTTTCTGTTTAAAATATTGACTGACTGGCCTCTTAACCTGAAGTGTCCCATAAATTGGTTACATATTTATTGGTTTGAAATAAAATGAGGAACAAATAGCCTTGATTTTTTCTAAATCTTTTAGAATTGCCTCATTGCTGTTTTTCAGTTGACCACACTCCCTCTGTTTTTACCATATGTATTTTTTTCCAGTAATTTGTAACTCGTACATAATTTAAATCATTGATAATGATCAGGAGAAGAACTGTCCTAAAATTGCTCCTTGTGGTACACCATTTGCCTAATAAGATGTTATGTTCTTTAAGTTGACACACTGCTTTCTATTCAATTCTCTCAGTTGTCAACTCATGGAAATTCATTATTATTCCTCCATCCATTTTCTTACCACTTCATCCAATACAGGGTCACAGTAGAGCAGCAGGCTATCCAGGCAAGTAAAAGTCAGGATACCACCTGGATGGGACATCACAGGGCACACACAGCCACAGATGCACACACTCACACCAGGGCCATTTTTCCCAGAAGCCAAATAACCTACCAACATGTCTTTGGGAGCTAAACGGAGCATTCGGATTAAACCCACGCGAACACGGGGACAACATGCAAAATCCATATGGAAAGCATCCCAGGAATTGGGCCCAGAGCCTTACAGCTGATAGGCAGCAAAGCCAACCACTGTGCCACCCTGCCAATCATCTTCATTACTTTGCATTCAGAAAGCTTTAATTTGGGAATTAGTGTGAAAGGCAAAATTCATATAAAAAATACCTAGAAAAGGTGTCTAGCATATCGTAGTAGATTTTATTACCAGTGATTGTAGAAGTATTTTAGGTGGTGAAATGTTTGAACCACTA